GCTGCCGTCAGAAGCAATGTATGGTTGGGGAGAAAATATCCATCCATCACTAAAGGTGAGGGCCACTTTCTAAAAAAGGAAACTTAAGTTCTTACTATGTTTAGCATAATTTCAAACGCTACACGACATGGGCAATGCTTGCAAGAGATGAACCACCAAGTTCGAACCACATTGAAACGAAAAATCTTTATGGTATGTTATAGTATGTTAGTGGATTTGGAATAATACGATTAATTCAGGAGTTCATCCATTCTACATGGTACTGGAGCCGGACGGCAAAGCCCATGGAGTGTTGATTCTCAATAGCAATGCACAGGTAAGCTTAGGATATTACATCTCAAAATTTGTTGAAGAAATAGCTTTGGCGAAGAGGTCCATGAAAAAGAAGAAAAGAAAAGAAACAGCAAGAAATTTTTTAAGTGACTCGTGCAATTTCAAGATGAGAGGTATTCCCCCTCCCGTGCAGAATGACGAAATAATTAATACTATATTGGTTAAGTAAAACTTTCCAGGAAGTCACAACTGCCCCAGGACCCACTCTGATTTACCGTACTATTGGAGGCAACCTCGACATGTATTTCTTCCCAGGTCCCACTCCACAGGAAGTAACGGAACAATATCTGGCACTAGTGGGAAAGCCTGTATTGCCAGCTTACTGGGGACTGGGCTACCAGGTATGTCCACAAATTTTGCCGAATTTATCTCAAAGCAGCATGTTTAGATATCACGTTATGGATATAAGGATCTCGAGGAGCTAAAGTGGATAATAGAGAGGAACGTTGCAGCAGGAGTTCCTTTGGATACAGCAGTGGTAGACATAGATTACATGGACAGATACAAAGATTTTACCACTGGCGAGGTTTGTTTTTTGTTATCAAATTCAAAAATCGCGTCAATTATTAGGTGAATATTTGAAAATATTGCTAATTATCAAAAGTAAAAAAAAAAAGTATTAAAAGTAACGTTCATCTCTAAGGCTTCATAGTATTGTCTTCTAAGGTTAACGCGGAATTAGGAAGAAGATTTGTAGAGTAGCATACAATGGTCCGAAGGGAAGCCCCCAATATTTTTTGAGTTGAACGGACTTACTACGGCTAAACCTTACCAGAAGATTTTTGAATGCTCTCCAGATTTGTGCGGGTATGTGCATAACCCTGAAAATTTGGAAAAAAATGGGGAAGCGGCTACAGGGGAAAATTTTTGTACAAAATAAACTTGAACTGGGAATCTGAAAAATTATTTTAGTTATTTGCAAGTCAAAAAGCGTAGTACAACCTTATAGCTCATGTAGGCTACAACCAACATTTTCATCTACAGAAGTGGAAAGACCTCCCCAAATACACCGAAAGTCTGCACAAACGAGGAATGAAGCTTATCCCTATTTTCGATGTGGGCATACAAGTCGATGATGATGCCTTCAGAAGGGCAAAGGCAAAGGTTCGTATACGGTGGTACGAGCGACCTTCCTCAAAAAGAAGGAACTGCTTTAGGGCGCGCGATTCATTGAATGGGAGCGATTCGATCAAGTCCCCAAGGACATTCAGGTTATCTATTCCTATTCTCTAATCATAGCTAGATAAGTTTAGAATAAGAGAAGTTTAGAATCTCTATCCAATGGCGAAAGACACAAAAATCATGCTGAGCGTTGTGTGGCCAGATGCACACATTGCATTCCCCGACTTTTTCGAACCAACAAACAATACTGTGAACTGGTGGATTGATGAGTTTGTAGACTACTACAAAAAAGTAAGTATACCGTAATCTACAGCATCTCCGAATGCAACGCGCTGTTTTGAGTTGCCCTATGACGGTATTTGGATTGATATGAATGAACCAGCAGCATTTGCCACTAACGACGAATATCCATGGTACTTTGACAATCCAGACCATCCAAATATAGCTGCACTCAAATGTCCAGTCGATCCATCCAAGCCAGATTCGGAGTGGGATATGCCACCATACCAGACACATGCAGTATGGAGATATGGCTGGGTAAGTGTGGATTGACCTCTGGTAAATACTTCAAGACACTTCCCTTGCATGTTGAGCTTTAAAAATCGGATTTAGGGCACCTATCTATCCTCCAAAACCATGTGCATGGGTGCATTACAAGGTGATGGAAAATATCGTCACTATGATGTGAAAAACATCTATGGCTGGAGTGAAGCAAAAGCAACGCTGCAGGCACAGTATAAGGCAACAGGGAAGAGAGGAGTCGTCATATCAAGGTAGGCAAAATCGCACAACATT